AGGGATAGTAATGGCACCACCTGGTAGAGTTATTGTGTGAATTAAAGGAAATAGCATCCATAAAATATTTAGTTGGTTCTTGGCACATAATAAGCATTCAATAAGTGCTGCAGCAATAATAATAATAATAATAATAATAATGGGAGGAGGAGAAAGAGGAACAAATGTATTGATGATAACGATGATGATGATTGGCTTTGGATTCTGATGATGTGAATTGCAGTCGTGGCTCTGTTACCAACCATAAGACAATTGCTTTCCTTCAGTCTCCATTTGCACATCTGTCCAAACCTCTTAAGGTTACTGTGAGAACTAAATGACAGGGGCCTGGCACACAGGAAGTGCTCAAGCTAGGTGAGTCTGGCCTGAAGAACCACAGAGACACACACTCTCCTCTCTGAAGAGGGTTTATCTTTTCCTGCTCCCCGATGGCTCCCCAGGGCTTTTTTCTGTTAGTGAGACTTTCATCAAGGACAGTGCCTTAGATAAAACGCTGGGGCAGAAAGAAAAGTCCTTTAGGTGGGCTTCTTCCACAAGCTAAGAAAGCCTGTGGGGTAGTGAATCAGAACGGAATCAGAAACTCCTGAACGAGGTTAAAATGAGGACTCTGACAGATTTGTAGGACTTAGCAATTCCCCCTACCCCCTCCCATCCTTGGGATCTCCTGGCAGCTCCCTGGGGTGAGCTATAGCAAATCCTTAAAAGCAAGCAATCCTGAGGGGTTGTCTTTGGAGACAGCAGGGCGCCCATCTCCACAGCCCATCATGGGGAGGGAGGAAACGAGCCCAGGGGACAGATATCTAGAAAGAGCTAAGTCGCCTCTCCATGCAGAGAGGCAGACAGATGGAGCACCCAAGGCCAGTGCCCAGAGGAAAAGGAGAACAAGGGACACTTCAGGAGGAAGGTCACTGGGAAGCCCCACTGAGGGACCCGAGAGAGAAACGTCGCCATTGCCGGGAATCCGCCCGGGTGATGCAACAGACAACCGGGACTCTGCAGCAGGATCGTTAGCTCTCAGGCCCCGCAGCTGCTCAGAGCTGAAATGAGTTTGGATTTAAAAGTCAGCAATGAGCCGAGTGGTACGGATCAGGAGTGAAGCACACGGCTTAATCAGGGGCGTGAAAGCAGCTGACGAATTACAGCGTAATTTGTCATCATCTCAGAACTCTGCAAGTGTTTGTCCCCGAAAGAATCGATACCTGGAGGGAAAAGAGCCGTATTTTTAGAAACTCCTGGATGGGTAATTTATTTCAAGTGAGTGGAGAGTTTGTGTATGTTGGCACCCCTACAGATCCAATGGACAGTATATTTACACGAAGCCAGGAAATGCTATCATTTCTTCTAGTCAATTTACCCCTTGGAACAGCTGTACCTTGAAGTTTGCCATGATAAATTCACTCCCCATGCTAAAAGCTCTACCCAGGAAACTATTTCCATCCCACCTTTAGCACAACTTCTATTTGCATAGCATGCTGCACCTTTCAAAACTTCCACATGGGTTCTGTCTTCTGGGGTACAAATGAAATGGACAAGGGAAGTGGTGTTAGCCCCATTCTGTAGATGAGGAAACTGAGGCTCAAGAGTTAAATGCAGTGTTAGTCAAGGTGGGGTAGAATAAGAAAGCACGATCTCCCCACCCCAGTTGTGTTTTCCCCCCATTGAACTATAAGAGACTGTACAACTAAAATACCTAATGAAAGACAAAAAGTGGAGAGTCAAGGATGTGTTTAAAATACTTGGCTACAAGAATGTTCACTGAGGGGCAGTGTGCTGTGCAAATAAAGAACAGAGGGTCTGCAGTCAGACTTGGATTCAAATCTCAGTCCTGGTATGGCCGTGGGCAGCCTAGTCTACCTTTCTGAACCACAGTTTTCCCATCTCTAAAGAGAGATCATTCAAGTTCCTACTTCACTGAATCATTGTAACCTTGAAAATAAATAGTCTGTGTAAAGTTCCCATCACAGTATCTGGCAGAAATAAGAGTTCAGTAAATGCTATTTATTTTGTTTTATTAGCTTCTATTTTCACAGCATTTTTACAATAGCAGAACAAATTGAAACAATGTAAATGTTAAAGGTGAAATGATTAAGTGAAGTATAGTGGCATTCATACAATAGGTTTTTATGCAGATGTTAATAAAGATGTAGAAAAATTTAATAACATAAAAATGTTCAAGATATATGAACACTAAATCTCATTTTTGAAATGCATAGATATATATGTGTGTCCATATATCAATGTGTGTACATGAATATATATTTTTAAACCCCTGGAAGCATTATATACACAGGAATATTAACTGTAGCTTTCTCTAGGTAGTGTGATTTATAGTCTCTTTTTTTTTTTGATCATCTATTTCTGCCCTGCTCAATGTGGTAGCCACTAGCCACACATAGCTATTTAACTTTAAATTAATTAAAATTAAATAAAATTTAAAAATCAATTCCTCAGGGGCTGGCCCCTTGGTGTAGTGGTTAAGTTCAGCACGCTCTGCTTCGGCAGCTGCAGTTCACGGGTTCAGATCCCAGGCACGGACCTATACCACTCGTCAGCCACGCTGTGGCAGCAACCCGTATACAAAATAGAGGAAAATTGGCACAGACGTTAGCTCAGGGCAAATCTTCCTCAGAAAAAAAAAAAAAAAAAAAAATCAGTTCCTCAATTATCTGCCACCCTTCAATAGCCACAAACAATTGGTGGCTTCCATACTGGACAGCGCAGACTTAGCACAATTCCATCATTGCAGTAACTTCTATTGGACAATGTGGTCCAGTGAGTCAAACCCAGGCCTGCCAGAGAAATGTGGTCAGGGCAGGGACCTCCCTCTGCTGTGCACCCAACTTTTCATTTGCATCTACTTTCTCCTCCTCAATGAGGATTTAACTTTTTCTTCTAACACATTACAACTATCACAGTGTGACAAAGCAGGGATTACCTTATTTGCAATGGTTCTAACAGTGATTAGCTCTCCCAATGATCCTATTAAAACTAGATCCCTCTGACTTAATAACCTCACAGCATCCTCTCTCTCACAGGAAAAACAGTTTGAACCAGAACGTTTCAACAACACCATCGTGTGTGAGAAACCCAACAACCACCTCAACAAATTTAAGGGTTATCTGTAAGTATCTAATGCCCATGTGCTGCTAATAAATATCTTCTCTGCAACTAGAAAACATTTTTTCTTGAAATGGCCAAACAGATAAGCAGCCAGATCCTGAGGAATTTGATTTCTTTTTATTATAAAGAAAGGCTAGAGAAACCTAAGTAAATTAGGAAACTTTTTCTATTCTTTTTTTGAAGTGACAGTTAATTATCTTGCACGGTTAAATTCACTAATGGTTTTTCTAGAACTCTGGTGAAATAGCATCAAAATCAAGACCACATTCTGATTCAGGGGAAGCAAGTGTGATCTAATTAAGATTGGTTTTCTCAAAGAGCCTGTGTTGCATTACAGATAAGAACAGGGCCTTTGGAGGTTGACAGACCTGGGTTTGAAAGCAGGTTTTATCACTTACAAGCTGTGTGACCTTGAGTAAATTAATTAACCTCTCTGGGCCTTGGTTTCTACATCTGTAAAATAAAGATTATAATATCTACATCACAGGATCTTTCTTTTCTGAGAATTAACTTGTTTATCGTAGGCTAAGCCCTTAGCACAGCAACTGGCACAGAGTAAATACTCTGTTAATGGTGGATGCTGCTGTTGTTATTGTTGTTATTATTCCTCAGCTTTGGTTCTGAGAATTTTACTGTAATTCTGGTCCCATATCAGACTACCAGTCTTATTACAAAAAAAGACCAAAAAAGAGCAATGATAAAAGACGTAAATAAATGCCCCTAGAGCTTTAACAGTTTTTAGAGTACTTGCACAGAACATCATCTCATTCCATCTGCGCAACAACCCAGGAAAGTGAGTATTATGATCCTCATTTTTCAGGTAGGGAATCTGATCATCTAAGAGTTTTCAAGATTCACCCAAAGGCACACAGCAGGTGCAAGACAAAGCCAGGACTTATATCCAGGTCTTTTCACTCCAACCCGTGTGTTCTCCATTGTCGCGCATGCAGAGCTCAGCCATGTTATGGCGGCTTCTCTACCAATAGGGGCTGGAAGGAGGCTTTAGAAGGCTTCTTGGAAGGCAGATGTCTATGCTTACCCTCCACCCACATTTTCTCAGGCTGCATAGGATGTCATGAGGAGCAACATGAGAGGGCAAAGGATAAGAACAATGTAAGAGAAATAGCAGCTTTTAAACTCAATTACTTTCAAAATGCAGAGAGAGAGCAGATAGAGACAGGCAGAGAGGGCCTGGGCTCCCGGGGAAGGGGAGGATTCATTGCAGGCATCTGGCAAGGTAGAGCTTGCCGCCTGCCCCGACAGGGAGTCCGCCCCTCAGGCCCAAGGTCCGTGGATCTGGGTCATCCCAGGCATCCCAGGAGAATGCCTGGAGCCATTCTCCTTCCTCTTAGAGAACAGCCTCTTTGCTGGGTTTCTGTGTGTGATCCTCTCTCCCTCAAACAACTCGGACCAGCTGCCTGCCTTTCTCAGCTTTCAACCTGGGCTCTGTCCTCCCATCTGAGAACTTTCCCAGCTCCACTCAACCACCGGCACCTCCTCTTCCTGGTTGCTGCCCCTGGAGACCAGTCTTTACCCCCACCCTGCCCAGGCCTCAGGGATGAGCCCTACAAAGTTCAGTTGACCAGCCCAGTAGCCAACCCATGAGATGATGGAGACTTCTCCACTGTGGTCCTGCTTCCCCATCAGGCTCTGAGACTGTCTTTAATCCCAGCACCACGGGTGCTCTGCACTCTCTTCCTGAGCAAACCCAGGGGTCTGATGCCTCCCGGTTTCCCAGAAGCTTCTTTGGGTCCTCTTAATTTAGGAGCTCTCCTGTGACTGCCCAGGCTGGCTAGAAAATGAACAGCTTTTAACGCTTTGTGTGAAGATTAGGGGTGTCAGATTGGCAAAGGTAACTTTTAAACAATAAGATCTCTATAGAGCTCTTATTCTCAACACCGCCCCCCTCCACCACCACCAGGGGAACTTTGGAAATGTCTGGACACATTTTTGATTGTCACAACTGGGGAGAAGTGCTGCCAGCATCCAGTGGGTAGAGGCCAGGGATTCTGCTAAACATCCTACAATGCACAGGACAGCCCCCACAACACAGAAGGATCCCACCCAAAATGTCAATAGTGTCAAGGTCGAGAAATGCTGCTCTCAAGTCAGTTAAATAAAACGTCCTTGTAAACGAACAACAACAACTATAAGAGCAGCCAGGAGACAGATAATCCTTTTCTACCGGTCACTGAAAAAGGAACTTTACGAGTGGGAGAAGTAGAAGCCACTACCATATGTTATCACCTCAGAGCATCATAAACATGTTCCTTAAACCACTAGCCACTGACAGTGACTCATTCAAGATCCTATCCACAGCCAGCCCCTCCTTGATAAGAAGTGGACCCTAAACTTCAGCCATTCTTGGACCACCTTTATGGTTTGTATCATATTCATAAAACATCTATACTTTACCAGATTTTTAATTGGCTTATTTTTGTCTTAATTTATTTCAAATGGAAAATTTATATCACTGGCCATAGGGGAAACCAGTATCACTTGCCATACAAAGAAGGTAATGGTAAAATTCATAAAATGAAATCACGACAGTGATTATATTCTAACTATTAACTATAACTTGCCAAAGCTGCCTCTGTGTTGGAAAGTACAATAAGTAAGTGCTAGAAAAGAGTTAATGATATGCTAGCACCAAACTGAGACATCCCCTCGTTAGAGTCAGAAGAACTGCAAATGGAAATGACTCTCTGATTCAGTGTAAGTTAACGGGGTGTTACTTAGGGGACCCCAGTGTAGTGAAAACCACATGAGGGTTGGTGTCCTGGGTTCCCAAGTCCCAGGATGCCCCATGTGCTAAGTGTGTGACGTTGGAAAAATCTCTCACCCTCTCTGACCAGCTTTTTCACCAGTAAGATAATGACCCTGCTAACTTCCCAGAGCTATGAAGAGTCAAATAAAATAAGTAAATGTAGTTTATAAACACAGTAAGGAATGATTGGTATTAAAAGGCACATTGAGTGGCAATACAGCACTCTGGAGCCAGACTTCCTGGGTTTGAATCCCCATTCTGCCACTTACCAGCTCTATGAACTCGCCTCAGTTTCCCTATCTATAAAGTGGGTATCATAACATGACCTATCTTATCAGGTTGTTATGAGGCTTAATTGAGTTAATTCATGGAAACACTTATAACCAGACCTAGAGAAATGAAGTACTAAAGACGTGGAAAGAGAAAACCTCTGAAGGGTTCAGATTATCATTTTTCTGTTCTCCCCAATGTTGTGGGGAAGTTACATTTAAAGTTCCTGAAAATCCCAAAGGAAAGGCATAGAATAGAAAAAAGATCAGACCCCAGGTAATGACTGGTGTTGGTTGGATTCAGAAGTTTCTAGTGTGAGGTGGAAAACTGCAGTGCTCCCTGAGACTTGAGAGAGGAGAAAACTCCCTCTCCACTTTACGAAGCTACCTCCCAGGACATCTCTCAAAGGGCCACTGTCCACTTCCTGCGCAGTCTGTTTACTTCACAAGAGACGGAGCAAGAGGAGGACAGTTCAGGAGAGAGACCGAGTGAGAGATGCCCCTCAGACGAGAGGGGACTGCAGTGCCGCCCCTCCTCACTCATCTCAAGGTGTGAGAGGCAGGGCTGTCTGGCCTCTTCTGTGGACTTGGACCCCAGCTTGTGCGATTCTGGTCCCAGCCGCTAGGGGGAGTGAGCATGTGAACACAGCCTAAGGCGACTCAGCACCAGTCTTGCAGGGCCAGAAGCCAGTTCCCCCACACCTGGCCCCTAAAACGATTTACTGGGTGTGAAAATGGAAGCCAAGGCTTTTTCAGTGGAGTTCTGCCTTTAGGTGAGTAAATGATGACTTCCTTAGGGGTGGATAATTCCCTTCTAATGGGCCAGGCCCCACCAGGCCTCCCAGGAGCAATGAAGAGGCACTTGAACATGAAGGTTAAAATCTGAGTTAATATCCCCCTTCTGAAAAAGAGGGAGGGGAGGGATCGTGTTCATTCCCCACTTCTAGTTCTGTGACACTAACCAGTGACAGGATGGAGAGGCCACCAAACCACTCCCTGTCTTTCCTCATCCCCAGGGAGCATCCTAACCAGTCCAGGACCGGCTTTGGCAGTGAGAGTCTTCTGCTTCGAGGCTGCACCATCAGGAACACCGAAGTTGCTGTTGGCATTGTCATCTATGCAGGTCATTGACCCTGAATAGCCTTTTTTTGTCCCCTTATTCTCCCTCCCTCCTCCAAATCCATCTTCAGCCAGTGGGAACTCGTTAACAGTTCTAAGCGGGTAGAGTCATGTAAATTCCTATTTCTCAGCTAAGCAAACTGAGACTGAGAATCACTCGGCTCACTTGGTCCACAGGGGACATAGTTAGATTCCAGGTCAACACGACCCATCTGAACAAGACAGGGAAAGGGATTCTCACTCATTCACCTCTCATGGTTTTGTGACACTAACTATAGGCAGGATGAAGAGTGTCTTAAGCCTGAGGAATATCCTCACCAAACTTAACAGCTTCACCTTTTTGTGAAAATTGTGCTTCAATTCCCTCATCTATGCAATGGGATGAATATTTGTCTCTGCCTCACAGAGCACTCATGAGAATCAAGTGACCCAGTGCATGAGTGCCCAGCACTGTGTCTGTCTAGCAAATGAGGGCTCAATGGGTTTTAGCAGTTGCTTTTGCAGTTATGTTTTTACTATTATCTTTATTTATTTTAGGGTGGTCTGTCTCTCCTTCCCACTTTGATTTTGCTTTCCAACAAAAAAATATAGCAGCGCTTCTCACGATGCAATCTAAAGTCGTAGAGGGCAGTCTTGGGACTGCTGTATGCCCAGTACCTGGCGCCCAGCCCTCGGCTGGTGCTCAGTCAGGATCTGTTGTGTCAACAGCTGCAGACTTCTTTCTCTGGAGAGAAGACAGTCTCCCTGGAGTGTCTGCCTTCACTGGAAAACTGCAGAGTTCGTTTCCCTGGCTCTTTCACTCACTGGGACAGCTTGAAATATTTTGCTATTTTGTTGTTTTGTTTGATTCGTTTTAGAATTAGTAGAACCCCACTTTTGATGGACATAGAAGAGCATTTAAATCAATCTACCCTAAGATTCACTATTTGGGGCTGTCAAAGAAAAACAAGTTTTTAAAAAAATAATGTCACAATCTAGCTACCTTTCCCTGATTTGGTGGAGGGGGGTTGTCAGTTCAGGTGGCTGCTCTCAAGAGTCTTTGGCAATGGAGTACAATGCCATCTGGTAGACCAACTACAGATGAACTCTGCAGCAATCTCTGCCCCACCAAAACACCCACGCAGGCTTGGAGTTTGCTTCTCTGCCTGATCAGAAGCAAGACTCTGAGTGGGTGATGGGAGTGGTATGTGAGGGGGCAGGTTTGGAGAGAGAGTTATTCGCGGCTCTGAGGAGTTAGGCTCCCTGAGGGTGAAATCCACTCACTTGGCAGCCTGTTTGTTAAGCTTTCAACACATGGGGACTAATAGTTCCTAACTGGCAGAGATGATCTGTGACAAGGGTTTAGCACAATTCCTGGCATACATTAGGCTCTCAAAAAGTGTGACCAAAAGTAGTACTAATTGTTTTTAGTATTTATTATCTAGAGCAGGAGTTCTTAACATTGGCACTATTGTCATTTTGGTCCAGATTGTTCTTTGTGGTAGGATGCTGTCCTGTAGGATGATTAGCAGCATCCCTGGCCTCTACCCACTAGATACCATTAACACCACCTCCTCAAGAAGTGACACCCAAAAATTTCTCAAGACTTTGACAATTGTCCCCTGGGGGGTAAACTCCTCTGGCTGAGAACAACTAGTCTAGACTCATATTTTCTCCCTTGATAATGTAGATGGACAAAATAGGAGCACCTCAGAGTCCAAGGCCCAAAAAGGCCAAGTTGAGCCTTCCAGAAGGAAGAGATCCAGCATGGAGGTGTGTGCTCCTCACAGCAAACATTTATTGAGCCCCTACTGTGTACAAGGAAGTAATTTAGGTGCTTTGTGTATATTAGTTCACTCCCCCACCCCAAACACACACACAACCATTAGCTCCCATTTTACAGATGAGGAATTGACATACAAAGGGATTAATTCACCAAAAGTCACTTATCTCCTGAGATTAATTCCCTGTAACCTAAGGTCGAGTGTCTGTAGAGCCAAGCTCTGTCTGGTGCAAGAGCCCGTGTTCTAAGCACTGCACCATACTTCCTCTCCCTTGAGCCCAACCCTTGCCAAAAGAACAGAGGGATCTCAGAAGGTGAGGAGCAGGTGGGTGAAGAGGGTGGTCCCAGGACCCCTTATATAGGATGAGCCTGAGGCAGGCAGGAAGGCCACCACTCCACCAGCCTCATTGTGCTCATTGTGCCGCGGAAACCCCGTCACAACTGCAGAGAATTGAGTCTAATAAGCCTAGAGTTTCTCACTCCTACTGTTTTGTTAGCACTTGAAATCCACAAGGCAACCAGCTAAAGAGCCTTAAAATCACTCACTACCGAAGCCAAAATATTGGTTTTCTTTAATTTTGCACATAAAATATGAGACTGGCATTTTTTAATCTGACTGCTGAGGAGTCCAGCATGGTAGTTAAAATTTAACAGCCCAAAAGACAGGCTCTGTCTAAAGACAAAGCCTCAGTCTGACTCTCAGCTCTTAGCTGTATGCTTGGGAACTGCAGATTGGTGGAAGGAGAAGCAGACAGCGAGTCAGAATCCTGGGCTCTCAACGTGGCTCTGGTGTTCATTTATTCTTTGGCTTTGGGCGGGTCCCTTCCACTCTTTGGTCCTCAGTTTCTCCAGCTGGAAAAAGGAGTGACTGGATGAGATGGTAGTTTTCAAATGTTCTTTGAACAAAATTTTATGCAGACGTCCAAGATAGGGGTGGAACTGCTCAGGGTTAATGCTGGGTGGAGGCCTTTGGCGCCTATCACTCTTGCACAAGCAACACCAACACCTTAGGCAAAGAAACAAGTATGAAAACTACTGGCCACAAACACTGTCTGTCCCAGGGCCTTTGCATGCACTGTTCCCAGCCTAAAACCCTTTTCTCTCAACTCTTCTCTCTCCCTTCAGGTCTCCCTTAAATGTCACCTCCTCTGAGAAGCTTTCCCTGACATGCTCTCCAACACCATCTCTTATTTATTATCTTGTTTAATAAATCTTAATCTCAAATCTTAAATCTTGTTTATTGTTTATTTCATGGGACTTATTACTAACTGTAATTATCTTCTTTGTTTCCTTGATTATTTTCACCAGAATGTGAGATGTCTGTCTTGCCACTGTATCCCACCACTAACCCATAACAGTGCCTCTGTGCAAATTAGAGAAAGATAGCCCTTCCTCAAGACAGCTTACTGTCATTCGTCAGAAGTGTGTCATAGTAAATTTATAAATCTCTGACAACTACAAAATGAAGGGTACCTTCATTTTGTGCAGTGCACAACCTGTGCGTGGTTGCTCTGTCAGTGCCCACCACAGTGTCTGCCATGTAGGAGATGCCTAATAAATACCTGCTGTCAAAGTGTGTGAGGCCCCTACAGCTCTTCTCAGCAACCTCCCTGCAGCAGGACAGATTCAGGCTAGAGAATGAAACCTCCCTTTTATTATAAGCTCCCATGAGAAGAGCAGAGGGTACCATCCCGGCCAGAGGCAAACAGGGCCAAGGACTGATTACCTCATTTTTCTCTCAAAGGCCATGAGACAAAAGCCATGCTGAACAACAGTGGCCCACGGTACAAACGCAGCAAGATCGAGCGGCGCATGAACATCGACATCTTCTTCTGTATCGGGCTCCTCTTCCTCATGTGCCTCATTGGAGCTGTAGGTATGGAATGTTCTGGAAAGAACAACACCATAGTAATCTTCTGTCTCTTTAGGCAAGTTGCTCCAGCTCTCTGAGCCTTGGTTTCCTCATCTATAAAATAGAGTTAATAAAAAATAAAGCCTAGCCTGTACAGGCATACCTCAGAGCTATTGTGGGTTAGGTTCCAGACCACCGCAATGAAGCGGATATTGCAATAAAGTGAGTCACATGAATTTTTTGGTGTCCCAGTGCATATAGAAGTTACGTTTACACTATACTGTAGTCTATTAAGTGTGCAATAGCCTTATGTCTAAAAAAGCAATGTACCTACCTCAATTAAAAAATACTTCATTGCTAAAAAATGCGAACCATCATCTGAGCCTTCAGCGAGTCATAATCTTTTTGCTGGTGGAGGGTCTTGCCTCAATGTTGATGGCTGCTGCGTGATCAGGGAGGTGCTTGCTGAAGGTTGGGGTGGCTGTGGCAATTTCTTAAGATAAGACAACAGTGAAGTTTGCCGTATCAATGGACTCTTCCTTTCAGGGATGATTTCTCTGTAGCGTGCGATGCTGTTTGATAGCATTTTACCCACAGTAGAACTTCTTTCGAAATTGGAGTCAATCCTCTCGAGCTCTGCTGCTGCTTTACCAGCTAAGTTTATGTAATATTCTAAATCCTTTGTTGTCATTTCAACCATCTTAACAGCATCTTCACCAGGAGTAGATTCCATCTTGAGAAATCATTTTCTTTGCTCATCCATAAGAAGCAACTCCTCAGCCGTTAAGGTTTTTATCATGAAATTACATGAATTGTGAGCTTCTAAGGGTTCCTTCCTCCATCTTCAAAGTGCATTACTCCAACCTCTGCTCACATTTCCTTCTCCTTTTCTGTAGTGGTTTCTCCCTCTGCCTCGCTTCTGTAAGGATGCTCGTAATTACACCATTGGGTCCACCTGGATAATCCAGGTTACTCTTTCGAATCTCAAGATCCTTAACCACATCTGCAAAGATATGCTATCTTATATTTTGCCATATAGGATAGCATATTCACAGGGCCCAGGGATTAGGACGTGGACATCTTAGGGGGCCATTATTCATCCTACGACAGGTATTACAGAAGCATCAAGGAAGGAAGTCTTCCTTGAGGAGGTAGCTGCTAGAGCTGATCCCCAAATGCAGTAGGCATTCACCAAAAGAGGTAGGTGGATGGAGCAGGATGGGACAGGCAGCTGTGAAAAGAAAGAGAGAAGTCACCCTTAGTCCCAGGGAAAGGGCATGCAAGGCACAGAGATAGGAAGGAGAATCATTTTATGCAAAAGAGCAGTTGGCTGTTTGGTGCCAACAGCAAGACCAAGAATGAAGACCTGATTAGAACCAGGCTGTGGCCGAGTTCTACAACTGCTGAGTGTGGGGAGCTGGGGAGGTAGAGACATGAGGCTCTGAGCCATTTAAGTTGCTCCTCGGAGTGTAGGCAAAGAGAGAGCCTCACTCTTACCTGCTCTCCCCCTCTATGGCTTAACTCTAAGGGTGGTTCTCAGCACCCTAAAGGAGGCCCCAAAAAGAAACGGGGAAGATTAAGAGAAAGAACTCATGTGCTGAGTCAAGAACCCCCCGCTGACTCCAAACTCATGAGCAGCAATGATGTTTGCTCTTTACCTGCCTTCATCAGAAATCATACCCATCACTGTTTTTTAAGGATAGTGTCTGAAAGGCTAAGACCTCCCTAGGGCCCAGAGAGATTTTGGGTGACACTGCAGTGAAGACGGTGGGATTTAGTCTTCTGGGTGGCCTGGAGTTGTTAATTAATATGTTTCCCAGATGTGTCTAACAGCACTCCACATGAGGGGGCTCACAGCTGGAAGAGGAGCACCTGGAGGGAGAGGCAAGCAGAAAAGCAAGAAAACTGTCCCCCGTGTGGCCACCTCCGTGCCCTCTAGATGCTGCAGGAGCTGTTGCCTCTACTTTAGGACAGGTTTTTCAGGGAATGTCAGAGCTGGAAAGGACATTTGAGATCATCTCACTGTGTCTCCAGAGAAAGGAAGTTAATGATTAAAAGGTCCCACAGTGAGATAAGGTACAGACAAACCAGAATCAGCTTGGCCGACTGCCCAGAATAATAAGTAAATTGAGAAAGGAGTGGAAAGGGGGCAGAATTCTATTCTATCTGAGAATGATGACTCATACACGGTGAGGGGCCTCTGTTGGCACCTGCAGGAGGTGAAACTCTCGAGTGAGTGTGAGCACCATTCCAGGGTTCTTTATCACATGTTTAGTTTGATTGTGTATAAGTGGTGTTTCTTTTTCCTTTGCCCATAATGCCCTCCCCTGGCCTTTCTGATCACCCAACACCCACCCAGGCTCCAGGACCCCTCCAGGCCTCCTCCTCCATGAGGCTTCTCTCATGGTCTCTGCTTCCTCTGAAGACCAGAGGCCCTTACTCCATGCCAGGTATTGGCCCTGAGTCATTTGCTCTATAATATTACTTTCAAATAACCTTGTGTCTGTAAGTCTCCTCTCTTCTACTACATGTGATGGCATTTGGCCCAACCTCCTGGGCAAAGAAGCTTCTTGGAGGCAGGGGAGCATTCTCCGTGCCTTTTATTCCCTGTAGGTCCTACCCTGCAGCTGAGCGCATTATTATTTTCACAATATCCCTAAGGAGAAGATATTATTACTAATTAACAGATGAGGATGCTGAGATTCAGAAAGCTCTGTAGCAGGTGCTGCATGTACTTCATTTTATTAATCCTCAGATGATGGGCATTGTTATCTGCATTTGCAGGCAAGGAAAGGGAGGATTTTGTCTGCATCTGGTGCTGTTACTGTGGGCTTTCATAGCATTCCAGACTCTGGCATAGCACCTCGCACACTGTATGGGATTTGTCCCTTTACATCTGGCTCCCTGACTTGGTAGGAAACTCCTCAAGGACAAGAACTAGGACCGATTCCTTCTTGAATAGAGAGAGCCAGGGAGGAGTGGATGAACAGAGAGATGGATGCATGGATGGATGGATGGATGGATAACTATGTGGTTGTATGAATAGATGGATGGATGGATGGATGAATGAGTAGGTGAATGGATGGATGGTTAGATGAATGGATGAGTATACGCGTGGAGGAAAAAGTGGGGCTAGGGTTCAAGTCTATCAAGACTCCACAGCCGTGCATTTTCCACCACACAACTGAAAAGAACTCATGTCCCTTTCTCTCTTTCTTAACCTTGTATAACAGGACTTCGTCAAAATGTAAGTAATCCTCATGCTGGTGTTTTCTGGAAGGACAGACTTAATGCCTATCAAGAGATTGAAATGTAGGTTATATGAAGGACCACTTTAGAACTAACTGAATACACAAACACACACACAGCTATGTTGTATAGAATAAGGATGGGCTCCTCCAAAGCACACTCATTTCGGGGAATAGGCCAAGGGCTGATGTAATTAACCAACTTTAGGACTAAGTGGAGATTCTGCCTCATCCTGGCTCTGCTTCCTCTCAGGTCACACCCTCTGGAATGGGACCTTTAGTGAACACCCTCCCTTCGATGTGCCAGATGCTGATGGCAGCTTTGTTCCCCTTGCTCTTGGGGGCTTCTACATGTTCCTCACAATGATCATCCTGCTCCAGGTAGGAAACCCTCCTAAATAGGGGCTCAAGAAGACCTGTGGCCAATACCCGCACAACTTTGAAAAATAAAGAAAAATCAGTGCTGGCCCCAAGAAAAAAACTAACTGGACTGAGTTGGGGAAATGTTCACTGCTTTCCTGTGGGTCTTTGAAAGTATGCACATTTGGGGTAATGTCAGGACCAGCCTTGCCTTGAGGAGGGCACCCTGTCCCCAGATAATAGTGGAGGAAGATATCGGTCAGGCTTTTCTATTTAAGAGTATGATTACAGCAGTGATCCATGTGTGCCATAGAACAAGTAAAACCCTAATGACCTGGGAACAAAAGAAGTAGCACAGAGAACTACCCGAGAGCTCTCAAGCCCCAAGCATTGAGAGAAAGAAACCACAGATTAGTGTTTTTTTTGATAGGTTGAGATGGAAAAAAACAGAACTGGCCCTATGTAAGAGAAAAAAACCCAAAACATAGAGCATCTACAATAGAGAGGACAAAAGGGATAAAGAGATGACTAAAAAAATCTTCAGCCTCTCTAAGAAAGTACAATCTAGGAAAAAATTAGGGAAGTTGTAGTTTTGTTTTGATGAAGCTCCTTCTACATTTGATTTCTTGTAGTATTTGAGGGTGTTTCATTGATCTCTTACTGGTAAAGCTTTTTCCATCATTACTTCATTCATTCATTCAGCAGAATAATCTTTTTCATATACAAGTCAGATCATACCCGCCTCTGCACAGAGCTGCCTGATGGTTTCACACCAGCTCAAAGTGAAATCCGCAGCCAACAAAGCCCTCAGTGATCTGGACCCTGCCTCCCTCCCTGGCTTTATCTCCTGCTCATTCACGTCCGGGGCCTGCTTACACTTATCCCCCAGACACCCGGCCTGCTCCCAAAGCCAGCCTTTGCCCAGAACGCTCCTCCTCCCACAGATCACCTCAAGACTCACACATTCATTTCTGCAGGTCTCTGCTCAAAGGTCACGATTTATGAAAGAGTCCCTCCCAGCCATCACCCTCTACTCTCTTTACTTTTCTTTATCTTCTTCATGAGACTTACTACCACCCGATATATATTTATTTGTTTGTTTACTGGAATGTGAGGTCTTCAAGGCCAGGGATTTTGTTCTGTTCACTGCCGTTTCCAGGACCTAGAACAGCGTCTGACACACAGCAAGCACTCGATATACTAGGTATTGAATCCATGAACAGTAATCAACAATGGGTCTGAACACCTGTAAAAGGGAGTGGCAGCAAGATCCGAGGGGTCAGGAGACTCTGGACAGGGGCACCAGAGCTCCTCACCCCGTTACCGCTCAGTAATCAAACAACCAGTGGTGAGAGCCAACCTTGGACCAGACATCCCAGGTTGAAGACATATCTCTTTTTCAGATTCCCCTAAAAATTCCAAGGGAGGCATGAAGTCATTGATCTTTAATTTCTCAGAGAAAGTCCATCCTGTGAGCTGACCTCCGTTTTCCATTAAATGCCGTTGCTACCCACTTGTGAGGGTCCTGAGATGGGGAACCTGCCTGGTTTCTGACACGGTGGGAATCATTCTCCCCACAGGTGCTGATCCCAGTCTCCCTGTACGTGTCCATTGAGCTGGTGAAGCTCGGGCAAGTCTGGTTCCTGCACAACGACCTTGACCTGTATGATGAGGAGTCCGATTTGTCCATTCAGTGTCGAGCCCTCAATGTCACCGAGGACTTGGGCCAGATCCAGTACATCTTCTCTGACAAGACAGGGACGCTGACTGAGAACAAGATGGTGTTCCGGCGTTGTACCATCATGGGTAGCGAGTATTCTCACCAAGAAAATGGTACGAGGCCTCCCAAGGGCCCCCACGCCTCTTTCTAAGGGAATCACCTGCTCTCCTAAGAAAATAGCAATAAAAGACTTCATCCTGGCTACCCACAGAGGCCGTGTGGCTTTGTGGCCAGCTGCTCCCTGGAGCACTGTGGGCTTCCTTGTCACAGATCAGTGCTCGTCTTATCACCTGTAAACTTTCATTTGTTCACAAAGGCTATCAGTGATCTCCTTTGTTCGCCTCCAGTCAATCTTTATCTGGTGCACGCATACACAGGATTTTATCTGTCAGAAATGGGCTGGGGACGTGTCCCAATTATGTGGCAGTCATACAGCCAAGTTTTGAGAATTTCTCAGGTCACTCTACCTGACATGTCAGGACAGGCCCAGGTCTAGGCACATGGTCAGATTCGATACGTCTGGGAAATGCTTTCCATGCTAACTGATCTCTTGGGTTTTCACTGAGACAAAGCTTCAACTTAGGAGCTATGGGTCTAAAATGCCTGGACTGCCATCTTGTATGGACTGAAGGTGGCCTATAAAGCTGACCTGATTCCCTCAGCACACCACCCCCCCCACACACACACACACACTCATTCTAACTAAGAGGAGAAACTCTCAAGAGAGCAGCATTCATTCTTTTGAGTGGGAGAGATGGAGAAAGATAAAGGAGGAGATATTATAGGCAGCCCGATCCCCTTTGCCACATGGCAATCATTTACATGGGAGCTTCTGACCTCTTTTTAATAATAATCACAGCTGCCATTACCAGTGCTTAGAGTATGTTAGTCACTGTAACGTATTATATCATTGTCTTCAGAACAACCCTATGAGTGGGGTACTTTTTTAAAACCCCTAATTGAGGAAATAGAGGCACAGGTTTAGTCAAAGCTCAAAATCACATAGCTAGGATTTGAACCTGTGCGGCTTAGTTGCACCCCTCCTCCTCCAGTCAGGGTAGCCCCCTGCCTATTTTCCAGAGCAGCACAGTGCTCTTAACTCCACCTTGAAGTCTGGCGTCTCCCCAACCATGACCTGGCCGAGGTATGGCTGGTGCGATAACAGGACTCCTTTCTTGCAGCCAAGCGACTGGAGACCCCAAAGGAGCTGGACTCAGACAGTGAAGAGTGGACCCAATACCGCTGGCTGTCCTTCCCAGCCAGATGGGCCCAGGGCCCAGCAACGATGAGAGGCCAAAGAGGGGCCCAGTCTCTGAGGAGGTGCCACAGTGCCCGGGTACCCCTCCAAGGACACTCCCGACAAAGGTCCATGGGGCGCCGTGAAAGTGCATTGTCTCCTGTGGCCTTCAGCAGCTCCATAGTAAGTCTCTGCCTTTTCCTCTTTGAATTGCAAGTGGCCTCTATTGGGGAGACACGGGAGAGGGCTCTGGGGTGTGAAAGAGGTAAGACTGTATAAACCCCGAAAAACTCTCAAAATGGCAGCCCTTGGTCTTGTATGTAATCCACATATATGTTTTGTTGGGTGTATACAATTCTTGTTAATTCCAAATGTTCAGTGTTTAGAAATTGAAAGATTTCATATAAACGTAGATTTCTGGCTTCTCTTTAAAAACTGAAATTGGAAAGATTCTCCTCACTAAGCCAGCATTTCCTCATAGCAATGATTGGCTTGAATTAAGGAATTGATGCCACGTAGACTGGACGTGCAGTCTTCAGTTCATCACAGCCCACCACCCTCCTTCTCTGTTTATCCCCATCACCAAGCTGAGGGCCAGCAGCATGCTCATTGTGTGTGTTTTTCCAACAATACAGTTAAAAAGAAAGAGAAATATTTGTCATGTTTATGTTTCTATAAAGTGGAAGAACAAAAGATCAGCCTGTAAGGCTTATGCATTTCAAGAAAAATGAGAGAATGTGATCATCATCATAAAAGATGATCTTAGAGCCAGCCCTAATGGCCTAGTGGTTAAAGTTCAGTGTGCTCCCCTTCAGCGGCCCGGGTTCGGTTCCTGGGCGCAGAACCACACCACTCGTCTTTCGGTAGCCATGCTATGGTGGCGGCTCACATAGAAGAACTAGAAGCCCTTACAACTAGAATATACAACTATGCACTGGGGCTTTGGGAAGGAAGGAAAAAAAAAAAGAGAGAGAGGAAGATTGGCAACAGATGTTAGCTCAGGGCGAATCTATCCCAGCAAAAAAAAAAAAAAAAAAGAGTCTTAAATTGTTATGAAGCAAAGAACATCTATGTCAAAATTACCCAGCCCACTTCACTCCCTTAGGTTACCTGCCTGGCCCCTATGACATTCCACTTTGCAAGTTTGGTTTAGGGCTGGCTGCGTATGGTCCCTTCACATGTGATCCACGAGCACAGCCATCACTAAACGTCCAGGTAGCAGGTGAAGAAATTGAGTTCCTTCCCCAAGATTACATAGCATCGCCTAGAACTCAAGGCCAGAACCAAGGCCTCATATCCCATTTCACTTTCCTCTGCACCATGCTCTTTCTCTAGGGAACACATCATATGGAATCTTCTGCACGTACAGAAAAGGCCACAGGGAACCCCATCTAGGTTGAACAAGACACACATATTAATAGAGGGACCTGAACTGCTATTATCCCGTTATTAGAACATTAGATTTTCAAAATGATCCTTTTAATTTCCTTCCAGTCTTTTATTTCCCCATTAATACACACATAACTACATATATTTAACATTTTTGCAGTCACAATATATATAAATTATAGGTGCTGGGGTTTTTGTTAATCTGACACGATATCAAAAGCATTTTCCATATTGCTACCCAGTATTCATAACCCAGGACTATGTTTTCTGACTGTAACAAAAAAGAAATGCTGTCAGTCTATGTGTTCTGGGTTGTTCCTTCTCTAACTTTGGGTGAGTACAAAGTTGAGTTAATTCTCTTGTGTTATTATCATTCACAGAAATGCAACATTAGCAAGGATGAAACAATAACAATGTGTTTATTTATTTATTTATTTATTTATTTGGTGAGGAAGATCAGCCCTGAGCTAACATCCGTGCCAATCCTCCTCTTTTTGCTGAGGAAGACCAGCTCTGAGCTAACTTCTATTGCTAATCCTCGTCCTTTTTATTTTTTCCCCCAAAGCCCCAGTAGATAGCTGTATGTCATAGTTGCACATCCTTCTAGTTGCTGTATGTGGGACGCGGCCTCAGCATGGCCGGAGAAGAGGTGCATCGCTGCGCACCTGGGATCTGAACCCGGGCCGCCAGTAGCAGAGCGCGCGCACTTAACCGCTAAGCCACGGGGCCGGCCCTAACAATGTGTTAAGACATATGATGCTCATAAACGAACAAGAGGAATGATCCATAGATGCCTTTAGGAAGATTTTTGTTTTTTTGTTTCTTTTTGATTTCCCAAGTTGGATAACAGGACATGCATATTGTCAAGTCTTTCTGTTCTTTAACTCTGTCCCCTCTGAATGGAATGCTCTTCCCCCAGCTCTTTATCTAAGTATTTAAACAATGAATTCAGTGAGTTCTCATTACGCACAGCTTCTAGGCCTTGTACTCTTTGTGTCTTTTGGCACTTTCCAGTTCTATATACCATGGGCATCCCACGTGCCTGAGGATGTCTCTCCCGGAACACAAGGGGAGAAAAAAGAAGCTTTCCTTTGTAGATCTCAGTTGGTAACCGCAGATTCACTGCCTGCTGTTCAACCTGACAAATCTCAGTAGCTCAGGAAAATTGCAACCCTGAGCCAGCCCATATAACATTTATTCAGGGCCCTTAGCTAATGGTCAGTGAAAGGGACACCTTAACTCCTGAGCTATCTCCAGGTCCTGGATGTCATCATTCTGCCCTGGCTGGCACTTTCGAAAGCAAGTTCTGACTAAGTTCATTCACGAACAATAAGGAAACAGACACATAGATTAAGACCCAATCCTTGTTGCCTGGGAAGGGGGGGATGGTGATGTGTTCTCCTTATGAACTGCCAAATATGCCATTCTACAGTCACATTGCTTGAAACTCTGGGGTTAGTGGGACAATAGCATCCCTGGGTATTTGTGAGGGAGCGCTGAGTCAGGAAATGGACGTTCTGGTTTCAGCTTTGCTCCTGGCTTGCTGGGTAACCTTAAGCAACATGTCAAACCTCTTTCCATCCTTGTTTCATCACCTGAAGATACTTTGCTTACAACTCTCACTGGTTGTTCTAAGAATAAAATAACAATGTTTGTGCTGAGCTGCAAGGTCCCGGTTAGCTCTGAATTAGGCCCATTTGGGGTCAAATCCCTAGGCTTTCGTCTCAGCTCCACAGTCTGTTAGCTCTGTGACTTTGGTCAACTTACTGAGCTGAAAGCCTCAATGTCCCCATCGTTCAAAGGATCATTGTTCTGCTTCATGAGTTTATTTTGAGGATTTAATTCTTAAAATCATGTTTTCCGGACAGAAGGGTAACTAATAGAAGTTTTAAAGGATCTTTCAGAAGGAAAGCTCTCTGCCTTGGACAAGTGCTCACATATCTGATGACATGGAGGAGAAATGAAAGTTTTCATAAAATACAATGTCAGGCGCTCTCCCCTGAGAGTCTGATATATTTGGTCTAGGGTAGGGCCTGAAAATTCATATTTTTATTTCTGATGATTCTAGAACCTTTCTAAGCATACCATTGCTGCACTAAGAAATAGTCTTCATTTGGCTCAAATGAAAACCTTCTACAGCTTGGGAGGTACCTCCTAAAGAGGGTGATTTATGCTTCCTTAAAGGATGCTAACACTAACCTGTAAAATGTCTGTGGCAGGAGTGGCAGATCCTTGAATTAGCCTATGGAGAAAGTCTGCGGCAGCCCCAGGTGGATCTCTGCTTCCCACCCCCACCCATTCTTGGCAGGCTCTCTGCCCATCTGGCATCTCACCTGGTCTGATAATCTCTTGGCACCACCAGTTCTTTACCTTCCTTTTATAAATTCAGTCAGAACTTGCCTCTGAACCCCAGGGTTCCAGGTCATGACGGAGTACCCCACCACATTCCAAAGAAGCCAGTTGTTGGTTTCCTTGGCCCTTTGCTCTAAACCAAAAGTAAAATGAGCATCAACAACAAAAACTGGCTTTTTCCTTTTACTACAAAGAACAAGGAAGCATTGGTTATTGTCACCTAATTGGCTAGTATAAAATCTGTGGCTTTAAGGTAGGATAATATACTTATGAAAGTGGTGAGTTCTGAGCCAATGTTTAATGCTACTGGCAGATGGAAAATGAAATGCCTTTTTTTTTTCCTGGTCTGTAAGCAGCCAAGATTTGAGCAGAGAGTCTTTGTTTAGAAGTGTCACTTGCAAAATGTTTTCCAGAATCATCAGACCAAGGACTATCTTCCTAATCATGAAGTCTACACTGGGGCCGGTTAGGATCCTCCACACTTCACCACCACTCCCTTCCGTAGGCAGAGCCCCTCCCACCCTCCGGGAAGAAAGTAATAGAGAAAAGTACAGGTGTCTTGGCCTGCTGCCTCCTTTTTTTAATCTTGGTCTTCCTTTCTTTCTTTGGAAGAGATTTGTGCAGCCCTTCCAGTCCACACCTACACACACTCCCACTGGAAGGTTAGATAAGAGTTGTGATTTAATTAACTAAGCACACAAAATCTTTTTGGAAGTGCTGTGACCACGCGGGGCAGGGACAGATGAAGCCTATGTTCACTATGCTTCCCTGAGCCCCCAGGGTCCCCAGTGGGGGCACATAGCTGCAGTGACCCTGTTCACAAGGGGTGGGGTCTTGCAAGATCTGGAAAACTCCCTTCTTGCTAGGCCTCTGAGTTTTTTCCTTTGGGGCTGACATCCCATTTGGGAAAATCTTACCTTAATAATCCATGTGCTTCTATCAAAGCAAATATTTACTAACACTGGGCTCTCCCAGTTCTGGAACCAAACTCAGTATCATCAAGGCCACAACCCCAGCCAGGGGAGAAATATCATTGCCCTAAACAAGATTTCAGCTTCCAGCTTCCCAAAACCCAGGAAAGTTTGTTTCCACGATGGTGATGCAACCACATGGTTAAGTAGGCAAAGGGAACCAAAGGTCAAATGGTAGAAAGTAAGTCTCCCTCCTCCTCTGAGATAACCACCACCCCAGAGACAACCAGTATCTGCAGTTTCCTATATCCTTCCCAGAGGTGTTTTGCATTTATAGAAGCACAGGAGTGTGGTATGCACGTGAGCACATCCATTACTGTCAGCAGAAGCATACCATACACACTGTTTTGGACTTTGCTGTTTTTTTTACCTAATGAATCTGGGGGAATATTTAATATATGTAGACAGACAGATAGATATTCAATGGAGAGCTGCGTCATCCTTTTTTTTAATGGTTGTTAGAATTTGTTGGAGGGTTGAGCCATCATCTGTTTATAGATGTGTGAGTTTTTCGTTCTTAGAGTATAATTGCTAAATTATGTGTGCATTTTTTTATTTTGATTGTGCTTCCCAAGAGGGTGTACCAGTTTAGACAATCACCAACAACAAATAGAAGGATCTGCTTCCTCCCACCTCTGCCAATTCTATGTTTTCTCAATGTCTACATTTCTTTAAAATTGCCTTTCATTTATTCATTCAGTCAGTCAGTCGAACAATCAGTTAGCATCCACAATATGACATATGTTGTTCTAGGCACCGGTGATATAAAGTTTAACAGGATATTGTCACTGATTTCAGGAGCTCACAACCCAATGAAGGGGCAAGAAGAACCCAGTGACTATAGGATAGTGCTCTCAGTGCTGGGATATATGGGTGCTGAGGTGCTATTGGAGCCCAGAAGAGGTGCACCTACATCAGACTAGGCTTCAGGGGGGGCTGCCTGGAAGGGTTAGCACCTGAGCTGAATTGGAGACAAAATTAAAGAACCGGAGCAAGGAGAAAACCATCTAGTGGGGAGAGGTGAGGAGAGCACGTTGTTGTAGGGGAAGATGATCTACACAAGCAAAATGGAGAATTGGGGTTCTGAAGAACAGCTGGAACAAAAGATACAGGTCGGAGAAAAAGGCAGAGGAGGAGATGGAGACATAGGAGGAACCATGCCACAAAGAGTTTTTTCCAGGCCTATGTGCCACAGTTCCTGTTTATTTTCACTGCCAGCTCCATGGATTCCGATAGTGACAAACTGCGGCGCCCAATCAGTGATGGTCACCAGTGTGAACTGGAGTGCGTTATCATTAAAATTGAGAGGAGAGTAGTGCAGTAGGGCTTGGCCTACTTTTCCAGCCTTCATTGTGGAACACACCCCAGCCAGGAAGGAAGTCAGAGCGATAGGGCAGCCATGTAGCACAGATCCTGCTACTCAAACTGTGGTCCTCGCACCAGCATCGTGAGCACTACCTGGGAGCTTGTAGAAATGTCGATGCTCGGGCCCCACTCCAGACCTGCTGAAGCAGCATCTGCATTTTAACAAGATGCCCAGTTGATTCATATGCATGTTAAAGTTCAGGAGGTGCTGGCATAGTGTTTAAGGGTTCAGGCTTTGGCATCAGGCAGAACTGGATTCAGGACCCAGCTGTTCTACTGATTGTGCGACCTTGAACAAGTTACTTACCTTCAATGAGCCCCATTCACCTCATAATTAAAATGGGAGAATGATAGTAGCTATATCAGTGCTATTACATTGATTAAATGATGTATGTGAAAGCACTATAACACTTGGCTGTAAGTTGTCAATAAATGTCATCTAGTGATAATAATAGGATCCTTGAGGGTGTCGCATGAGGTCAGAGATCACCTTCCTCAGAGAGGGTTTGCGTGAGATTTAAGTGTTGTGCAATAGGAAAAAATCCAGCCAGCTGGGTGCCTGGGTGCCACAAAGCTCTGATCTGAATGACTGGTGGGCCCCATAAATTTATATTGCCTTTCTTTTGGAGAAATAGGTTAGCCAAAGGGCCCAGAGGTGGGTGGGGGCACTGCTTTCTCTCTAAGTGTCCTAAGTGCCAAGTTCCTAAGTGTTAATGGACCAGACAGGAAACCAGTGGGCTGTGGACCAGGGGAACCGTGCAGAACCTCGCCCTGTGGAAACAGGTCTGCGGTGACTGGATGAAGCTTAACTGACATCTGCTGCTGACACCTGCAGGCTGGGCCTGCTGCCAGTGCAGAGAGAAGTAGGCCCTTTGCAGAGATGTTTTTTCTTAACTCATCGCTGTATGATCGGGTGGAAATACACTAAAGAAGAGTTTTAACAGAGACCTCATGAGCTAATCAGTGGTGAGGTAGTGTGGTGTCCTAGATAGGAGTCAGTCAATGAGGGTTTGCGTGCCTGCAGTCTGCCAGGCACTGGGGACACATGACAGACACTCTCTGCCCTCATGGCACTCATAGACTGGAGGGTAAATGGACATGCAATAAATAACCATTAAATCATTTTAACTGTGTCACTGTTTGGAAATACATAAAGCATGGCTTGGAGCAAAGCCGTGTGTTGTCAGAGGCTGGGAGTCGGTGTGAAAGCTGCCCTAGTTCTGACCTGAACTGGGTGTGCAGCCTTGAATGGTTCACTTTCCTCCTCTCTGCACTCACTTTTATCACCAGAAAGCAGGGGATGTGGCTCTGATGAACTCCAAGCTTGTTCTCAACTCTGGGTATCTGTGGGGGGGGATTAAAATCATCCCGTTCAGGTATCCCACCCCCCCCAAATGCAATCTGTTTCCTGAAAAAGGAAGATTCCCATCATTTCCTTTATAATCTCAGGGACTATCTGCTGAGCCCTAACGATGAGATATACAAGCCCGTCAGTTGTGTTTGGGATGCCAGACACTGAAGACACTGGGGTGTCAGCAAGTATCAAAGGCCATTTCCTTCTCATAGGGCATCTAGCCTGGCATGGAGGTTAAGAGCACAAATTCTAGGGTCAGACTATTTCAAATCAACTGAAGGAATCTCTCTTGGGCGAGACTCTTAATCTCCTGGGCAGCAATTTCCTCATCTGAAATATGGATATAACTGGGAGGATAGTAGTTCTCAACAGATAATGTTGCTGTGGGGAAGCAATGAGATAATGGATGTACCTGGAACATAAGAAACACTACGTGAATAGGAACTATCATTACAATTATGAGAAATGGGCTCAGAGTTCCCTGAGTAGTGTTGGTAAACTGATGGCAGGCACTGGATGGAGCCTGGAATCTGGTTAGAGGAGTTTGCAGAGGAGCATTAATAAGGGGGCATGGTGACTTTACCATGACCACAGAAAGGAAAAACCCTAGACTAGCAATCAAGGGCTCTGACGTCTGATTCTGGCTTTACACCAACTCACTGGATGATACTAGTCAAGTCAGCCCATCTCTCGGGGTTTCAATTAAGTTGGGAGTAGTATTATCTCAACTTGGGACTGTGAGAACCCAGTGAGGTCACATAGATGACATTGCTTGGAAAGGTAGGAAGAGCTTCATCAGCATGAGCTCCTGCCAGGAAGACTGCACTCAAAGAGAGAAAGGATGGGGCATGCTCCCTTCCCAAGCTTTCTGAAAAGGGCAGTGACACCACATGGTATGGATGGTTCACCATTATTTACAGGGCAATGAAAGGAAATGCAGACTTGATGCAGTTTTACTAGCATCTAGCATTTTCCTTTTAATAAATAGACTTTTTTCTGGATGTTGTCTTCTTAAGATGGTCTGAACAAGATGGAGGTGTGAGTGTTGACATGTGGAGAGCACTCCAAATGAAGGTTGAAACTCTTTGAAGGGTATTTGTTCCACCACATCTCTGCTCCCTGTTTCCCTTAATCTCCCTGCGCTGTTGGAAAACCCAACTCTCACCCCTCCAGGCGTCCAGCACCTCCTCCATGTGTCTAGGTTTCCTCCCCTGGGGCTCTCACCTGTGCCAGCAGCACAGGGAGGACAGAAACTGATTTCTAGAGTCACTGCACTTGGTAGTCAGAGAAGACACAGTCTGAGGACTCTTTCCCCCTGGGATTTTTTTTTATCTCAACTTGGGTTATTATTTATAAACCCTACTAGCTCATTGGCGCTCAGTCCTCACCCTGCACCAATCAGTCAAGATGCTCTCAGTCCATCTTTTTCAACCATTGAGTCTCTTCCAAACTTTAATTAAACCGTGAACTCTGAACACTGATGGAAATGGTCTTATGTGGAAACTTCTTTGCAAAATGGTTTTTGTCATATCTAACTAGTGAGAGTCAGTGTTGGTTGAACTTCTGCTTCAAACAAAGCAATAACTGGAGCTCTAGAAGATACAACATTGTGGAAAATGAAGTCTCTGTCTTCAAGGTTCTTATCTCGTCTCTAGAGAGATTAAACATGGACATAAGAAAATTAAATTTAAAATATAGGTCAACGTGTAGTGAATTTCAATGTGATGGTATAAGTGGCGACTTCTACAAAGATGTGAAAAATTAGAAACCCATGAGTCAGATCCAGCCCACATCATCTCTTGAAAAATCAAGAGATTTGGCAAACCTGACCAGCAGTGGAGCATTTCACTAGCAGAGCAGTTGCCACCTTTTAGATGATGTAGGACTTGGTCACAGCCCCCACCATCCCATGGTGTCCTCATCTGTACTTTGGCCCACTTCCCTCATGCACCTTACGTGCCTGACTCTTGTGGACATTCTGAGTTCAAGAACCTGCCATTGTGGCTCAGAAGACAGAGCACTCATTGTGGGCTGGATAAGATCTCATGGACACGTGGGATTTCTCGTGGTTCTTGAAGTGAAGGTAGGATTTGGGTAGAGAGGAAAGGACTTTTCAAACAAGGTGAGATCAGAGGCATAGAAGAGGAATATTCATCCAGGAGGCAGCAAACAGACCACCCAGCTGAGCTGAGAGTCTGTGTTGAGAAGTGATGGGACTAAAGAGTGGAAATGCAGACTGTGAAAGATTTTAGATGCCAGACTGAATTGATCGTGCCAACAATGATGATCTCATGAAGGTTTGTGGAGCTCAGGAGTACCCACAGGGAAATGGTGTTTTAGGAAGATGCACAGGTGATACATAAGAAGTGTTAGAAAGAAAAGAGATGAGAGGCAGCAACATCAGTTTAGAGGCTGATGCAGAAATCCAGGATTGAGGGCCAGAGAGTCTGAGCCTGGCTGGAAGCATCAGGAATGAGGGACAAACGATGGGGAGAAACTATGAGGGAAGAACTGCCAGAGCCTATAACTGATGGACATGTGGGGTTGAGGGAAAGGAAGGAATCAAATAAGAATCTGCAGTGACCAGGCCTGTGGGAGGGGGAGGCATGCTGGATGCAAGACTGCAGGGAAGACTGTATCATCCTTTCCCAGCAAAGAATCTGCTGGAGGAGGCCTTCTTCCCAGTCCCTTCAAGAAAGACTCTCACCCGGGCCTTTCTCTCCCAGGAAAAAGATGTGACTCCAGATAAAAACCTACTGACCAAGGTGCGAGATGCTGCCCTGTGGCTGGAGACCTTGTCAGACACCAGGCCTGCCAAGTCTTCCCTCTCCACGACCTCCTCCATTGCTGACTTCTTCCTGGCCCTAACCATCTGCAACTCCGTCATGGTCTCCACAACCACCGAACCCAGGCAGAGGGTGAGGACTGGTGATGATGGATGGTGAGGAGGGGGGATGTGAGGAGGGGTAGGGGTGAGGGGTGAGATCCTGAACAGGGGGACAAGATGCTTAAACCCTAGCCACAGTGTCTCCATTTCATCCCTGTGAAACCTTGAACCTATCTCTTATCCTTGCTGGGCCTCAGTTTCCTCATTTTTAAATAAAATGTTAATAGTTATATGTGCTCTCTGTGTAGCTTTCAAATTTTGTGTCTGTCTGTCTGCAAGGTAGATATTGAGTTAATATTTACTGAGCACTTGCTACATACCAGGCTCCATGCTACACACTTCTGCATTATCGTTTAATCCTCACGCCCCGACATCCCTGTGAGGTATGTCTTTGGATTTAACAAGTGAGGAGACAGTGGCTCAGAGAGCTTGAGTAACTTAACGAAGGATGTATGGTTAATACAGGGCAGAACCATCTGTATGACTCCATAATAATATCATAGTATACTGGTCTCTGCTTTTACATGGGGTTAAAAAAAAAAAAAAAAAACACCATGTGTGATGTTCTGCCAATTGGGAGATAATGCAGCTGGATGGCCATCTATGGAAGGTTATACTTGGAATTACTTTTCAGTACTGAAGATAGATTTGTCTTTATCCACAAACTCTCACCCAAGCTCCCTTGTGAGTGACTGATGAGAATATCGGGTATTACCACTTGTGGCTATAAAATCAAGCAAAGGAGGTTCACCCAAGCACCAAACCAGAGCCTCCCCTTATTATACTAAGATTCAGCCACTGCAAAGTCGTGAAGTTATCAGAAGTCTTCAAGGAGCTTTGGGAGGCAGGAAGCATTATCTGAGAAATTAACTCTATTTTTGAGAAAAGAAGAAGTACCATTTTTAGAAGGACAGCATCCAACTCAATTCTCAAGTTAGCGGGGAGGCTTTAGCTGGCAGGTAGCTTGAGAGCCCAATCTCTGGAGTCAGGTAGACCCAGATCCGAGGCCTGGCTCTACTTCCTACACACTGGTGATCATGGCCAATTTATTTAACCTCTCTGTGCCTTGGTTTCCCCATCCATAAATTGGGATGATGATAGTATCCCCTAGAGTTGCTGGGAGGATGAAATGAGATGCTGCAAAGATACAGCAGACAAGCCTGTGGTAAGGGGTTCAGGGAATGTGAACTCTCACTGTGAGTCTGGCTTTTGTCTCCTTTTCTTTCCTTTGTCTGTGATCAGAAAGGATGGTCCAAAGCTAGAGGAAAATGAGCATTGTTAATCCCTACAATGTCAGGGCTGGAAGGAAACGGCCTAACTCCCCCATGTTATAGGTAGGTAAACTGAGGCTCACAGAGTGGAGAAGACTTGCCCACAATCACAGAAGGCCCAAATAATCTACTTATTGCAAAATGACCCTCATATTCTGCCATAAGACAGCTTGATATTTTTCCCAACATTGACAGTAACATTCCACATCCCTCCTTTGACTACAAGGTCACCGTGCCACCCTCGACCAAGGCTCTCGGGATGTCCCTGGAGAAGATTCAGCAGCTCTTCCAGAGGTTGAAGCTTTTGAACCTCAGCCAGTCATTCTCATCTACTGTGCCCTCTGACACTGACCTGGGGGAGAGTTTGGGGACCAACATGCCCATCACGGACTCTGATGAGAGAGACGACACGTCTGTGTGCAGTGGAGACTACTCCACTGATGGCGGCTATAGGAGCAGCACGTGGGACCAGGGCAACATCCTGGGGTCTGGGTCGGGCGCTTCCTTGGAGGTGGTGCTGGAGGCCCCAGGCCTAGGCCTGGCCAGCCCCGAGCTCTGTTACGAGGCCGAGAGCCCAGATGAGGCTGCCCTGGTGCATGCCACCCATGCCTACAGCTTCACGCTGGTGTCCCGGACGCCCGAGCAGGTGACTGTGCGCTTGCCCCAGGGCACCTGCCTGACCTTTGACGTCCTCTGCACCCTGGGTTTCGACTCTGTCAGGAAGAGAATGTCTGTGGTTGTGAGGCACCCGCTGACAGGTGAAATCGTTGTCTACACCAAGGGTGCTGACTCGGTTATCATGGACCTGCTGGAAGACCCAGCCTGCGGTGAGTCCCATGTCACCAGGGCTCCATGGTTTAAGAGGCAGTGTGGAACGGTAATGAGGAGCTCAAGTTACAGTGTCACTTAGTCCAGTGGTACCAACTGAAACACAGCCCCACAAGAATCTCTCCTCAAAGCAGCTTCCTTAAAACGCACTGCATTCTGCATCTCCTCGGCCTAGAGAATGACAGTGCTCCTTAGCTTACTAAAGACTCGGGGCAGTCTTGTAATAGAGAAACCTCTTTAACTGTGTTTATGCCGGTTTCTAGTTTTCTAAACTTGTTTAAACATGGGTTATCCATACACAATTTTTTTCACCAGGACATCTATTAACATACCCTAGAACACATTGTGGTCCCAACTCTTAGTTTTGGAGAGAAGACAACTGAACTCAGAGAGGAAAGTGACTGATGAGAGATGGCACAGCTAACTACTGATAAATCCTAGGCCCAGGTCACCTGAATCCAGTTCTCAGCTCTCTGCATGCTGTCAGAATTCTGCACCAGGCTCAGTGCACTCTGGGAAGCCCCAGGTGTCCCTCTTTATTATCCTTTTCCCCAGCCTCCCATGAATGGATTTTCATAAACTTGTGCCAAGCCAGAAAAATGTTCCGAAGTCCCTACTTATCAGTGTCCAATTTTGGAGCAGCATGAATTAATGTGCAGCCGCTTCTTGATTGCTAACGAGGAGAAGACAGTTATGGGACTATGATTCTCCCAGGATGGTAGATTCCAGCCAAGCTTTAGAATTGCCCAGGCAGCTCTGTGCCTCCTGCATTATCAGCTGTGGATCAGAGCCAAGAGGTTCATGGGGATTGATGAGTGTTTAGAATGGAAAGGGAGCTAATTAGGTCTCTTCATCCCCAGACTCTGGCAGACAAGTGAATTCAGTGTTTCTGAGTCAAGGGAGCCATGGCACTCTATCCCTGGGCAACAGCCATCCAAGCTGCCCTGGAGATGTTTTTTCATTTGTTCCTCACCCAACTCCAAAATGGATTAGAGATGCTTCCAATAAAAGACACATATACAATGTTACTGTAAGAATTGAGAAGCAATGTTTTGAAAAGGAGGGAAAAAATAACCCAAGATTTAACATATTTACAGTGTTTGAACTTTCACTTTGACCCTGAGGTTCCTGGTAGCCTGAGCAAAAAGGTCAACTCAAAGTTACACAGGTGGAAGGCAAAAGAGTTTAATCTCAGGAGCTGATGTCTTTGAAAGTAAAACATTGTAGACAGTGCTCAATAAAACAATGCACAAATACTGTGCTTAAGGCACCAGGAAAACAGTAGCTCCTGGAAAATGAGAAAATAATCCTTGAAAGGATTTTTTATATTGCATGAAAACAGCCTTAGAATAGTATCATGGGAAAAATCAGAGCTTTGTTGGACTTCCTGATTCTTATGTTACTGTTAAGAAGTGTATTTTTAGGGTCCGGCCCGGTGGTATAGCGGTTAAGCTGGCGTGGTCTGCTTCGGCAGCCCGGGGTTCGCAGGTTTGGAACCCCGGGCACGGGCCTATGCACCACTCATCAAGCCATGCTGTGGCAGCACGTCATATATAAAGTAGAGGAAGATTGGCATAAATGTTAGCTCAGGGCCAGTTTTCCTCAGGCAAAAAGAGGAGGATTGACAGCAGATGTTAGCTCAGGGCCGATCTTCCTCACCAAAAAGAAAAAAAAGAATTGTGTTTTTAATTTTGCATTATATGGAGAGATGGATGAGGTGCACAAAATATACTTAGGGCCTCTAAAGATCTCAATCGAGCTCTGGTAAAGGATCCTGAAGCTTTTCCAAGCTCAGCTTTACAAAGTGGTGCAATTGGTTAGTGACATCTGTGACATCTTAGATAAGGGAAGCGGCAAGGCATCAATCCTGCCCCATACCCGCCAACCCAGGCTGAAACTTGCTTTTTATCTGATAGTTAAAGGTACTGGAAATTCAAGAGAAAAAGATACATTTCTTCTAAAAGAAAAGTATTATGTAGGATTTCATAAAGGGGACTTTGAGCAACACAGTGAAATATTTTTCACACTAGATTTATAGGAAATGCAAAAAATATTTTTCTAAGATGACTTCTTATATAGGAAGAAAGCCTAACTCAGCAAACCCGATGTGGTGAAGAACTTAACAATGGGAGTCAGGTCTCTAGCTCTCTTGGGACCTAACTTTATACAAGGACAGAGAAGGTGGCGGGTAGCATGTCTAAGACTTAGCAAACAGTTGGTCACCCAGATCTAAACTGGCCGCATGGAAGACACCTTAGGTAACAACCGAGATTCAGACTCTGGTCCCTGATTCAGCAGGGATTCAGCTGGCCCTGGGAATCTCTACTGTTTAAGTTCCCAGGTGATTCTGTTGCAAACAGGTGTTTGGGATCAATACCTCAGACAACCTACCTTCCTTAAATAGGACTTTTCTCAGCCAGGCTTTTGATGATCAGATTTAGAAAGCAGACAATTTAAGAACTCCTGGAGTCGTCACCTTCCAGGGAACCCTGACATTCAGGGGAGCTCCTCTATGTTCCTGGGGTGGGCTGTAAGGGGATTGCCCCTCTAAAGATCCAGAGTGTTAGGACCAGGGATCCCTAAGTATTTGTACATGACCTCACGGGGGACAATGACTATTTGACAGCAACTGACACTGATATGGAAAAGAAGGTGAGGAAAATCCGAGCCCGGACCCAGAAGCATCTAGACTTGTATGCAAGAGATGGCCTTCGAACACTGTGCATCGCCAAAAAGGTAAGAACAAATTCATCATTTAGTAACCGAAAGGCCTCAACGCTGATTCCATCTTTTCTATTTCTTTTTAGAAGACCCTTAATGTTTATTGTTTTAATATTTTCAAAATTACCTATTCTGACTCACCACCAAGACCCATGACTTTGACAATTTTGCTGGGGCAGAAATCTGAATGACAGGGTTCCGTATCAGTGTCGCTTTGTCATTCTCTGCTTTTCATTGTATATATAATTGGTAAGCCATAACTCATAAAATAATTTTTTGATGTTATAGTTTTGCCTTCAAAGTATCCTCTTTAAAGTTTACATTATTTGCCTAGATTTGACATTTGGGAAATTTTATATGATCACATAAAGATCTAGATTTCTGGTTTCTCTTGAAAATTTAGAGGATCTGGCAAACTTATTATCTGCTCTTCCGTTCTTGAAGAGCAGATAATAGCTAGAGCCGTGTGGCAGCTGATCCCTTCAATGAGGGATATATTCTGCTGTGTTCTGTGGTTGGTCACAGTCCCCACATTCCCTATTGCACTGCCCTTGGCCCAGCTATAGTCATATAGATTACCCACCTCAGGCCCTGCAGTCTTTGATTTCGCAGCCCCTGCAAGGGAGGCAAGAAAGAGAGCTATGAATCCCAGATCAGGGGCATCTAATGAGGCCCCTAAAATCAGGTAGGGAAGCTATGATGGGCATACATTTCTAGATGGCTAGAACTGGTTTCTCCTCCGTAAATCCCCAGAGCGCTTCATCTCTTTTATGGTGCTTGGTGCAACATAGAGTTTAAGAGCATCCTTTTTACCTGGATACAAGTCCCAATCTCACCGCATATCTGTTGTGTGACCTTCGGCAAGTTTCTTCACCTCTCTGAGTTTTGGATTTTCTTGTCTGTAAAATGGTGCTAGTGCTCCCTGCCTCATACAGTTGTCATGGAGATTAACTAAGGGAACACATGTACAGTGCCTGGGACAGTCACCAGCACTTATTACTCTATAAATTGTAGTTATACCCTTACCATCTTCTATTTTCCATTGAAATTATTTGTACCTATTTTACTTCCCCTAATAAGACTGTGAATTCCTCAAGAACAAAGGGCCAACCTGTGTCCCCTTGGTTTTCCCTATAGTGCCATGTGCAGAGGGAAAATCAAGGAATATCTGATGCTTGGACAAAAGAATCATTCATTGCCATAAGAGACAGTATGCATGCAGTGCCAACAGAGGGGTCTAAAAGTGCTATGGGACTCCAAGGGAGGAAGGTATGCCCTCTAGTTGGATTCTTCCAGCTACCGGGCACCTCTCATAGCTGGTGGAACAGTCTACCAGGCTATGCAGGGTCTGGCTGCTGCTTATCTCTCCAGCCTCACTGCTGGCTCCTCTCTACCTGGCTCTCCATCCTTCAGTCAACTGGTATGTTCAAGGAACAGAAAGAAAGCCACGCTCATTGCTGTCTCATGGCCTTTGCACTTGCCCCCCCCCATGACTGAACCCTTCTCACTGGAGAGGGTTGCATGTCACCTTGTCTAAGAAACCTAAAGATTCAAATGAAATACCCCTCTTCCCACAGCTATCCCTCTACCCAGTCACACTCCATCACATTACCCTCTTCATTTTCTGTATAGAACTCTTTGAGGGGGCCAGCCCGGTGGCTTAGCGGTTAAGTGCTTGCACTCCGCTACGGGTGGCCCAGGTTCCAATCCCGGGCGCACACCGACGCACCGCTTGTCTGGCCATGCTGAGGCGGCGTCCCACATACAGGAACCAGGATGTGCAACTATGACATACAACTATCTACTGGGGCTTTGGGGAGAAAAAGGGAAAAAAAGGAGGAAGATTGGTAATAGATGTTAGCTTAGGGCCGGTCTTCCTCAGCAAAAAGAGGAGGATTGGCATGGATGTTAGCTCAGGGCTGATCTTCATCACACAAAAAAATAAAAATCTCCTTTAAAAAAAAAAAAGCCTCTTTGAAATGATCTGTTCTCTTAAATTATTTACTTGGATAACGTCTCTCGCCCTCCACTAACACGCAGGGATCTTATCTGTCTTGATCACGGCTATATCTCCAGTGTCCAGAGCATAGCAGGGGCTTGACAGACGTTTGGTGATAACAGAACATGAGGATCAATCCTTCATTGATTCATGCATTCAAAAAACAAAAATCATTGAGGAGAAAGCCCCATCTGATTGTGTAGTGAAGCTCAAACAGGCCCATAGGAGGCCCAGCATGTGGGAAGGGGGAGGGATTCGCCCAGAGCTGTGAATGAGCCTATTCCTGTCCCATAGGTTGTAAGTGAAGAGGACTTCCAGCGATGGGCCAGTTTCTGGCGTGAGGCTGAGGCGTCCCTCGACAACAGAGACGAGCTTCTAATGCAGGCGGCAGAGCATCTGGAGAATCAACTCACCTTGCTCGGTAGCTAAAAATAATTGTCATCATTAAATGGAAAAAAGGAATCCTGCAAGCTAGGAAAGGAGTTCTGGGCCCTGATTCTGACACTGCTGCAGACGTGTCTCAATTAGGAGCCTTCCCTGAGGTGCCCTTCCAGGTATTTGGCACAAAAGGGATGTGCCAAAACCCAGGCCAAACTCGACACAGAGCTTCCTGAGGGTGCCCCAGGAGCTCTCCTGTCCTCCCTGCTGGATGAAGCCTAGGAGTTGGGTTGCTTCTCCTCTATTCATTTGAATGCTTGTTGAGCACCTACCATGTGCCAAGGAGCACGCTAGGCATGGGGCTATAACAGGGAACGAGAGTCACAGGCCAGACCCTCCCAGAGCTCAGAGGTTAGGGAGGAAACTGGATGATTAAACAGGTAATTTCAACAGAGGGTAATGAGGGCGGGGCCGGAAGATGTACATGGTGGGATGAAGGCACAAAGTGTAAGGTGCCAACCTCACCTAGGGCCAAGGAGGGTACAGGAAGGTTGGAAATGAGCAGAGAAGAGGAGCTGGTCAGGCAAAGGGGGAGAGTATTCCAGGCGGATGGAAGGCCCCAAATGAAGGCCTGGAGGTGAGAAAGTCTGGGCCAGCTAGAAAATCAGAGGTCTGGGATGGCTGGATCACGGAGTGTGGGGAAGAAATGATGTAAGGTGAGAGAGGTCAGCAGGACTCAGATTATGAAGGGCCACGTAAATCATATGCTGAAAGTTTGGAGAGGGGAAGAGGGTAAAAGCAGGGCAAATTTGTGCTTTACAAAGATTACTCCAGCTGCTGGATAGAAGTTATATTGATACGCTTGGGGAAAGATGAAAAGCATGGACCCCAATTAAGAGACAGTGTTGTATTTCTGTTGGAGGAAAAGTATTGCCAAGGAAGAAGGGGGAGGCTTTATTTATCAGGATTAATCTCCTTAGCTTGGGAGCAAGATCTAGGAAAGGCGAGGCCTGAACACCATGCACAGACTGGCCACATGGCCAAGCCTTCTTTCATCCTGGGAGCATTGCTGACCTTCTTCCCCCACCACCTCCCCCCGAGGTTTCTTTCGTTTTGGGGGAGCACTCTGGTCTCAGTTGTTGAGAAGTGCTCCTCAGCTGGTTCTGCATGAAAGAGAACACACTTGTCGGGACCTGTCGGCTTCCCTGGCTGGGACAGGTTTTCACAACCCTCCTGTTTCATTTTCTCTTTCACACAAATAAATGTGTTTTTCCTCTTCTCTTCTTCACTCTGCGTCCCTGTAATATAAATCAGCTTCCAAGTCTCACCTTCCAGGCTAAGCCTTGGAGGGAAAGGTGAGGATCGAGCCATCACTTTTCATGGGGTTGTTTATCTGCGCATTTGGGCCTGAAATACAAAACAGGCACATTTCGGGGGAGAGAGGTTAGTTTTCTCCCTCAAGGTGGCTTCAGAAGGAGAGGACTGGGCTAGGAAGAGATTTCATCTTACCACCAGGAAACTGCCGTGCCATTAAAAGCGGCATTGCATTCACGCTGGGTCCCGCAATATGAAATGATTTTTCAATATGCATCCAGCGTAACTGCTTTGCCAACCTAGTGTCACTCAGGATTATTAAAAGAAATGAACTGCCTTGCTCCTGCCCAGAGTGAAATGGGCAGCCATTAGTCTGTGCTCTGAAATGAATCTCAATTTAAATGCAGATTTATTTTGGCTTAATCACTTAGCAACTATTCGATATTTGGGTATCTATTCATCAGGTTTGGTACAAAGTTTGAGATCATTCAGAATTATGGAATCTGCATATTTAATTTCCTCCAAGAATAATATCAAAAACCTGATATTAATTCTGCTGTGAGCGGTCACAGAGCAAAGATCTCAGTCTCTCCACTTCCCTCCACCCCCATTGCTGCCATGCGGGTCCAGGCCACCGCCAGCTCTCCTCTGCACTCCTGCTCAGCCTCCAACTAACTGTTGGCCCTGAATCTCCTCTTGCTGCCTCCAATCTCCAATCTGTCCACGAGAGTGATCTTAAAACTCTCTGGCCCTGTCGCTCTCCAACCTAACTCCCTTCTGTAGCTTTCTTGGCTACCAAATGAATTCCAGATCCCTAATGCCCTGACAAGGCTCTGCATGATCCAGCACCTTACCGCCCTTCCTGATCTCGTCTCTCACCCCAGTATGTGTCGTCTTCCATTCTGACCTTTGGGCCTTTACACAAACTGATCCCTCCGCCTGGAATTCTCCTCCTTCCCCATCTCTTGGCTTTATCTTCCAGGTTTGTGCTTAAATGGCACTTCCTCAACAAGGCCTCCTTTGACCTTCAGGATGAAGTTCGGGTCTCTGATAAATGTTAGCATGGCACCCTGGGCTTCTCTCCTCGTATAGCTCGTATACCTCATATAGCTTCCTTCCTCATATAGTTATAAATCCTTATTCAACAAGCCTTTGAGCTTCGAAAGGGTAGGGACCAGGTCTGTCTATTTCACTGCTGTATCCTGGGGACTTAGCACAGCCTAGAACACGGAAGATATTTAATAATCATTGCCTGGCTTGACAGGGCTTTGGGGAAATTAAGCAGCTACTTTTGCACCATAAATGTGAGCTCTGGTGTCTTTGATCACTCCAGGAGCCACAGGGATTGAAGACCGGCTGCAGGAAGGAGTTCCAGACACAATTGCTGCTCTGCGGGAGGCGGGGATCCAGCTCTGGGTCTTGACTGGAGATAAGCAGGAGACAGCGGTCAACATCGCCTATTCCTGCAGACTGTTAGATCAGACCGACACTGTTTACTCCATTAATACAGAGAGTCAGGTGAGGCCAAAGTAAGGCCCAGATGTTTAAGTGCAAGGCATCCCCTAGGCCAACAGGAGACAGGCTTATGGGTGGGATTTGGGTACACAAGGGAAGCACCCCTACCCCAATATCTTGGAGCTCAGAGGGCCCTGGAAGTCATCCAGTCCAACATTTTCTGCCTCATCCCCACACATGGTTGACCAGTCTATTTATGTTACATCTAGTGGTACATATTAGAAAGTTTTGCCTCTCCTGAATTCCACCCTTGGCCCACTCTCCCCATTCTACAGATGAGGAAACTGAAGTCCACTGGGGCTGTCACCTGCCCAAGGTCACCCTGGTAGTGGCTGATAGAAAGACTAAATCTAGAATGCTGTCCTCTTGCCAGACCAGTGCTATTTGTATTACGCCATATTGTTTGCTCATAGAAACTCAATTGTTCATTTCTTGTACTTTGGATTAACTCATCCATTGAAAAAGCCCCAATTAATCTGAAATTATTCTGAGTTTAAAATTTCAGCTCCCATTTGTATGTCAAATTGGTTTGCCATGGAATAAAACTTGGAGGGAATGATACACGAGACCAGTATGTTTTGATGGGGTGGGAGAGAAAAAGAGATAAGCAAAGTCCTAAAACTGCAATTTTCAACCCGAATAGGTTGTGAGTGGCAGGGAGAGAGGTTTGGAGAGAGGGCTGTGTAAAGTCTAAAGAAGCATATTCAAGGTTGTAATACAATTTTATATCTAGGAGGAAAATTCTGTTTTCACAACGCTAACTGCAGAAGGTAAAGTTCCACTACCTTCTTGGCTGATGACTATGGGAAGTAGGCATTGCAATATATGCTCCTATCAAAAGGGAGCAGGAAAGCACGGTATTGCAGGGGTGGTGGGCACCTGGAGACTAGGGCCTGCCATGGGCAAAAGGATAGAGAAGAGGGAAGAAGGTGGGAAAGGGAAAGAATGGCGCAGCAAAAGAGGCAGAGAAGATGATGGAATCTCTTCCAGTTTTGCCTGAGGCTGATCTGGACCCAGAGTAGAAGTTTGGGAGGTTTAAATTTGGTTTTTATTTCATGAAGAATCCACATACACATATTAAAAAAAAAAGAAAGAAAGGTAGAGTGTACTATGAAAAGTGCCTGAGGCCCTTTAGATGAATTGGAAAAATCATTTACTTTCTTGTCGGGTGCGCAGATTATACTATGATTAGATTAAACCCCAATGAATTTTCAAGATGAACATAATCTCGTGGAAGTGTTTGGCATTAATATTATGCTTATGAAAGAAAGTAATTTGCAGCTTGCCTGAGTGCTTGATCCCTGTAATCCCTGTTGATGTTTGCCTGCCTCGCTTGCAATGATCATTTCAGTCCAGGGGATTCCAGAAGGAGGACGTTGGCAAACATGTGAGTCAGGCAGCCTGAGGGGAATGGAGTGGGCTTCTCTGGGTTCTGTTAAATGCAACGTGCTCCTGCAGGAAGCTGAAGATGTTTGAAAATTAATTAGCCAAATTTCCTAAGGAGCAGTGGGCCACTCTCCATGTTGAGTTAAGTCACTGTCAACTCTTTTAAATCTGCCTGGGACCCTCCAAGATGGTGCCTGAATGTTAGGCCCTGCCCACACCCCTGGGCCCTCTAAACCCATGGGATTAGTCTTTCTCATCCCCTTGTCTGGGAAAAAGTGGTGGGTGCATAGATATGTTAAGACAGACACTGGGGAAATACATTCTAAATCTCAGATTTATTTTAACCCTAGTTTAATGTAATTACATATTCAGTGGATGTTTCCTCCAAGGGTTTTAATCTGCCTAATTCATTAAAAATTGATTTAGGACTACTGTTTCTTTGTTATGCATCTTAAAGATATAAGCAAGTTATGGGACCTAGCTCAACCTCAGGGTTCTCATCCATAAGATAAGGGAATTACTAACCCATCACTGAAGTGTTGCTCTGTCAAGGAATTTTAGAAGGGACTACAGTAATAGATAGGAATTAGTAATAGCAACTATTATGATTATTATAATAACATATATTGAAGGCTTAATATGGTCCAGATACCATACCTCTCTGGACTTCATTCTCCTCATCTGTAAAATAGGTATTAAAAAGATTTATTTCAGAGGCTATTGGGAGGATTAAATAAGAACATAGAAGAAAAATACTTATTAGCACAGTATTTGTATTAGTTAACAAATTACCCCAAAACTTAGCAGCTGAAAACAGCAGATATTTATTACCCAACAGTTTCTGTGGGTTAGGAGTCCAGGAGTGGCTTAGCTGGGTACCTCTGGTTCAAGGTCTCTCCTGAGGTTGCAGTCAAGCTGTCAGTCAGGGTTGTGGGCTCATCTAAAGGCTTCACTGGGTGGGTCATTGAGAATGGAGAGGAGTTCTTCTTCCAAGCTCATGGACATGATTGTTGGCAAGCCTCATTTCCTCTCCATGTGGGCCTCTGTACAGAGCTGCTCCACAACACGGCAGCTCATGTTCCCCAGGGCAAGCCATCCGAGACAGAGTGAGAAAGAGTGTGCCAAATCAGTAGCCACAGTCTTTTTATAAACTAACGTGGGAAGTGACATCCCATCACTTTTGCAGAATTCTCTTCATTAGGAAGGAGTCACTAGTCGTAACTCACACTCAAGGGGAAGAGATTACACAAGGGCATGAATATCAGGAAGTGGAGATCATTGAGAACCATTTTAGAGGCTGCCTACCACAATACCTGACATATACTAAATATTAAATGAACGGGAACTATTGTGATTATTACATGGAAAATTTGAAATAAGTAAAATCAGAGATTTTATCTTGAAGCTTACATCTCCAATGACTTGCAGCAGTCATATGTTGGAGGAATGTCCATAATTTGTCCCAACCCCAACTTCCAGCAAGGACTATCTTGATCTCTTTCCCAGATAAGTGCTCCTGGAACTACTTCCTGTGGCCCCTCTGGGTTCTGTGCACACCCTATTGCCTGCAACACTTGGTTTAGCATCCCCTAAAGGAAGACTCCAGAATAATGAACTGCAGTTCTACTCACTCTAGAAGAAATTATTCCAGACAGTCTCAGAGGCTTCTAGATCAATGGTCCCCAAACGTGTCATTTCAACAACCTTTACAATTTTGGCCAAAATCCACATTACCTATTCTTTGTTTAATGATTTCATTTAAATGGACTCAATATGAACATTTTAAAATTTATTTTTAGAAGAAATTTTTGGCACTACAGTAAATGAAAAATCATCATCCCTTGCCATTGATAAAAGAACACTGCTAAACAAAGATCATGTGAAGAAAACAATGCTATTCAAACTGGTAATACAGTTGACTGCCACAGCTTTTCTCTATCTTTATTATAAAGTGATGGTTACAGAAGTTAAAGATGTATTAAGGATACATTTAGAACCCAAATCTGACTTTATCTTTGATATAATCAAAAGTAATGGAGGAGAATTAATAAGAGCAAGTAACTTCTGCACTCTTTCAAGGAAACATCAGAAAAAAGTCAATAAGAAGTTTCTTTAAATCAGTAAGACATTCACATCCATCGTCGGTTTTAACCAATCTTACCAACACATTCATACCAACGGATAAACATGCAGTCAATGTATTTTTTCAATTAAGAAGTCACGGTTCAGGGAGTAATGATCTGCCTCCACTGCTAAGTTGGATGACCTTGAGCAAGTTACTGGTGATTTCACTGTTTCAGTTCATCTCTAAACTAAAGTCAGTAATGCCCACCCAACCTACCACACCGGGATGTCCTGAGGAAGAAAGGAAAACTGAAGTGACTTGTGAGAAATAGAAAATACCATACTGTATGACATATTGTCTTTATTTTCCCCTCATATTAGTATTATTTATCATCTTATACCATCCCTGAATCAGTCCCCATCTTGCTGAGCTATTTCACTCCCACTCCCAAGCAGTCTCTCCTATTTTGGCCATTAATTTGGTTCCAAATTAATACTGCTTTGATGCTGTTTGAAATACTGCAGAGAAATGTAAAAATCGGAGGATGATACCTAGGTAATCTCTGTGGTGGTACAGTCTTATAACTACTTTACTGAAGGATAAAGTGAGATTTTTAACCTGTGTTTCCAATGTTGCTTCCTAATACCATATTTATTATTCTGACTCTTTATAGGAAACCTGTGAATCCATCCTCAACTGTGCCTTGGAAGAGGTAAAGCAATTTCATGAACTGCGAAAGCCAGACCGCAAGCTCTTCGGGTTCCGCCTACCTTCTGAGACATCACCGCCCACCTCAGAAGCTACAGCTCCAAACATTGGATTGGTCATCGATGGGAAGACATTGAATGCCATTTTCCAGGGAAAGCTGGAGGAGAAGTTTCTGGAGTTGACTCAGTATTGCCGGTCTGTCCTGTGCTGCCGCTCCACCCCCCTCCAGAAGAGTATGGTAGTCAAGTTGGTGCGAGACAAGTTGAGCGTCATGACCCTTTCCATAGGTACCCGTCATGCTGAGTGTGGGTTGCAGCTTCACAAGGCTGATCTGACAAGAGGCCTGGACCAGAGGTGGGAGGTCAGGTATCAAAGTCAAGATGCTCAGGCTGAAGGTCATTGTCTTAGAGGGAGAGAGTTCAAAGTGACAGTCAACCTGTGGCAGCCAGGAGATGAAGCAGAGGCTAAGTAGAGTGGGAGGGTGAATCAAACTTCTCAGGAATTAGCAGGTCAGCTAAGGAAAAATCAGGACTTGTATGGAGGTCAAAGCCAACAGGGGCCTCAAATTCGGAACATGTAGGGAGCTCAACAATATACACTCAGGCCAACTCAATTCTGGGAACGCAGACCATTTTCCCTTCGATATTGAACACATTGCATGGCTCTATGAGCCTCAGGTGTTTGTGGATTTGATGTTCTGCTAAGTGTTGATGGCTGGTGGGGAGATTTTAAAAGCTGGGTCTGTCCCATATTCAATTTCGCATGTTCATTCCTAAATACAAATCCCAGCACAAAGCATACCCTCAATAAATGCTGGCTTGTCGGTTGGTGATGAATTCCTTCTAAGAGGCTAAAATTAATCACGGTTGAGGCAGAGAAATAAGAACTGTACTTACTTCAAACCTTCCAAGAACAACCAAACCTGGGTTACAAGAATCTTCATGATCTCTTCTCCATTAACTCTTCAGCCATCTTTCTCATTACAGCCTTCCTCTCCCCAACATCCAGCACTCCATGTTCCAACTGCTTACCATTCTCCATCAGCCTTGTCCTGTCTCCCTCACTTCCAGGCCTTTGCATGAGCTATTTCCTTTGTAAAACTCTCCTCCCTCCAATCCCACCTAACCTTCCTCTTCTCTGGGAGCTCCTGCGGCACACAGCCCTCGGAGCTCCAAAGCACTGTTACGCTTTCTATGATGGCCTGCTCAGTAGACTATGAGTTCCTCAAGGAGAGGGACAATGACAGTCTTATTCACCATTTCATCCCATACCCAGTACACACCAAACACATAGTCAATATTGCATTCATGTAGGTACATTCTTACAGACGGTTCCAGGTTTTCTTTCTCCTACAACAGACATGAAAAGAGATTTTCTTGCCTGGCATTTCAAATAAGAGGCCTCTCATACATTGTTTTTTCTCCTGGTCCTCAGGTAAAAGCAGTTCAAAACCAAAAAAATAAAACATAAAAAGAGGGAGTAGAATACAGAGAGCAGAGCTTTAGAGCTTTAGCATCCTAATTTATTCCCTGAATTGTCCTCTTCAAAACTTCAGACACACACAAGGCAATAGCCCGGGACTGATCCCCTGAGGTAAGAGTTTGGCTTCACTCCCATAGCAGCAGAAACACGACCAGCAGGGCAAGAAATAAGATTCCACACTCCTACTCTCATTGGCTTGCTAACAGAAGAGGTTAAAGGTTGGATTTGTTCTGCCATGGGGAAGGTTAAAATTATGCATTGTTATGCTACCAAGAAAAAAATCATTGCTATAAGAATAATGGCTACTTATAATGACAGAATGTTAAGATCAATAAATTTCATTGCCAAATAATTAGGGGAAGAAAATTCTCTCCCCCAATTCCATATTCTCTATGATGTCTAATATAAATTTAATTGCAGATTATTAAAAGAACCTACTGGAAAAAGAGGTGGGGCCAGGAGGAGAATGAAGGCAATGCAGCCTACAAACCACAGCCCACAGGCTGAATCCAGCCCACTGCATGTTTTTGTAGGGATGCTAAGAACGGTTTTTATGTTTTTAAATGCAAAACGTGTAAAAGACTATTTGCCTCTCAGCAAGAACAGTTGTTCAGTTTCGCCTCTTGGCACACAAAGCCTAAAATATTTACTATCTGGCCCTTTACAGAAAAAGTTTGCTAAACTCTATTCTGAAAGATAAAGCATTGGGAAACGCCAGGCTTGTGAGGAAGGCCTCACTGTATAGAGCTGTGTTGCCACCTAGCTACGTGTGGCTATTTAAATTTAAAAATACTTAAAATGAGGGGCTGGCCCTGTGGCGTAGTGGTTAAGTTGGGCATGTTCCACTTCGGCAGCCCAAGTTCATGGGTTCGGATCCCGGGTGCAGACCTACACCACTCACGGTGTGGCGGCGACCCACATATAAAGTAGAGGAAGACTGGCACAGACGTTGGCTCAGGGC